TTCCTTGATAAATGGGTGACAGTTCTCTCTCACCAATCATTTTTTAACATTTTGATGCATGTCTATGATCCCGCTGGAGGAACAGAAAAGTTTACTGGCCCTCAATTTTCCGATGATGAATGGAACACTCTAAATGTGCGATTTCTGTATGAGGTATAGTTCATTTTAAGCAATTCTAGTAAATGGGTGTCACTGATTAGGACAAATAGTCTACTTGTGCAATAGCACAAATGGTATGTCTCATTCTTCTGGCCTCCTTTGAGACAGAAAAGAAAGGGGACAGCAATGACCCTGATAAACCTGGAATTGCTACTGTTTAAAAAAGCGCTATTATATAATATACATTATCCAACACACTATTGACTTGATGCTACTAAATCATGTCTGTATGTTTAGCATTGGCCTATTAATTAAAAATGTATGTCATGCTCAAAAACCTTCTTTATACGAATAGACACTTCACCAGAATCCCTTCCCCTTTGACTTATTGCTTTCAGAAAAATGCATTTTACTCCAGGCCTATAAAGCAGTTTTACACATTAACAGAGACTTTCTGGGTCTGACTCTTGAACACTAAACTTTGACTGACTTATAGAGACCCAGCTTGAAGAAAGGGCAAGAATATCTGTTCTATCTTGATTTTTTTTTCCAGCTTGCTAACAACTGATACTGACACAAGGTCTGATCAATAAATAACCAATACTGTAATAACAGTGACTGTAAGTTGCTTCAGGACAACAGCACTTAACAGGAAAAAAAAAAAAGAAATGCAATATATATGAATTAGAAATGCTGAGGATTTCATTAAAATGAATGTAACTGCTTTTTTTTTTTTTAAGGCTTTCCAATAAAAGCCTGGATACATTCTGTATATTTTTAGCATTCCTCTTGCAAAGTCACCAGATTTCATCCTTCAGAGCAATAATTGAATATGTACAAGAAATAATCAGGTGATTTAAATTTAACTAAGGCCTTTGCCGTGGAGTTTAGCATAGTAAAAATAGTATGATTTGTGGGAGGCAATTAACAATCATTTGCTCTGTGGATACAAGTAATTTGTTTAAAGAGCACTGACCTATGAGACAGCCAGTTTGTGTTGGCTGTGATGGAAGGGAGCTATTGACTCCAAACAGTGTAACAGCGCCATTGACAGAACCGCATTTGAATGTGCACAAAAGATCTCCCAAACACTTGAGGAACACGAGATCTTTCAGAGGGGGACGCGGGGTGGGGGCCAGCCCAGGAAAGCAGCCAAGGGCCGAGGGGAGAGCGAGCCAAGCCCAAAAACCTGGACAATGTCACTAGAGCAGAGGGCTTCCCCCCGTTGGGGCCGTGCCAGCCGTACCGCGCCACGGACGCTCCATCAGGAGGGACCCTGAGCCACGAGCAGTGGGCTCATGGGCTCCACGTCCAACACAATGCTTTGTGCAGAGGAACCGTTCTCGTCTTCACATCCAGCAGCAAATGCACTGCAGGCCTGGGAATGGCTCCATGGACTGGAAATCCATGGGTTCTGCTGGGAACATGGTGGCGGTCGGACACTACCCTGCAAGGGACCTGCTGCCTCCTGACAATTTGGGGCATTGCCTCAAAGAAGTTGTCAAAATAGGAGCGTGCAACAAAAACCTTAGGGTGGAAACAGCCAGCATGAAAAGTTCCAAGGGCCACGAATCATCCTTTGAAACTGTTTTGGTATGCTCTAGATCAGGCTATGCACCCTTTATTTGCTTGGGAAACTACACTAAACACAGAGAAAACAGGAAGGCAGTGGAACAAACACACTGTAAACACAATCCTGCTGCACAGCTCAGAGCCAACCAACAGAATCTGCAGAGCTTAAAATATGTGTGTAAAGGTGCAATTTTATCTGTAACATAATTTCATTTCGAAGCATACAAATCACAATTTGCCATAATCAAATAAGGCTGCAGTGCTTATATTCTAATTAAAAAATAATCTCTGATATTTAATTTAGAAACCTGGAAGACTGTACCAGCAAAATTATGGCTGCAACCTGCACCAACCACTCGATTTACCCACAGACAGCAAATTTTTCAGGTACCACTTTTAAAATAAGTATTAAGCAAGCAAATGCTGCACCACTCAATATGTATTAAAACAAGTATTGTACCCAGTTATTAATTTGCACTATTCACTTTTAAATGCAGCAAATACCTCATTAATTTAATTTTAGGTGCCCACCAGTTTATATTGCATTTTACAGTCTAGAAGGCAATTTACTATTAACTGGCAATTACATACAGAATGATTGTTAATTCTGCTCCTAAGTGCTAGCTGCTTGAAAATTGTTATCTCTCTCTAATTTTTGACCTTCTTACAACAGGGGTGAGGTACACTGGGAATACAAAGGACTAGTAGAGAAGAGCCGGACATGTCATTTGTGACTCATTCTTTTAATTCACCGTGCTAATCAACTGAACTGCCACAATCTCCCAAGGTAATTGTATCTTTATAATAGTTGAAAGCAGCGGGCAAAAAGGCATGGATAGATGGGGAAAGGCCTTGCCTTTGCCTGCTGGGAGCTGGCGTGCTCCTGCTTCTGCGCCGGGCTAATGGGGGCTTTGGAGAAAAATCTGGAACTTTCGCATCTCCCTGCCCTGATGGTTTAATGTCTCAACTTCTGCGCTCACAAAGGCTTTGTGCACCACACTACACTCTTGTTTCATTATTCCGCAGCCTTGTTGCCCTATGGTCTACCTCCTGCTGGGAAGGTTAAATGTTAGAGTGCCAAGCCAGGCTGCAAGCATGGTGGGACACTGATGGGAAACAGATGCCCTGGGGACCCGGCCCCTCCCTCCGCCAGGCTACAGCATTTTCATTTTCTGAAATACAGCAAGGCTTGGCTTCCCTCTCAATGGCAGCTGTAATTTCCAAAGACTATCTCAGCCACCCTATCACTCTGGGATAAAGAACAGCAGAAGTTTCTCCGTCAGGCAGGCTCTGGCTTTCTCCCTTTATTTTCTTGTTGCTGGGATATTGGCTTTTGTTTTCCTCCAAAGGTGTTTTAAATATCTATTCCTGATAAAGTGTTGTTAGTTACATAACTTTATTACAATTTCATTCCAGTGGGAGAAGCTCCTGACATTCTCATGATCCTTTTGAACATCTTTACTCAACAATAAAGACAAAAGACAACCCCAAGAAGGAAAAAATTAATGGTTTGTTCTTCCAGTTCCATAAACACATTAGAAAGAGTTCCACTTCCACATTAGAAAGAACCTCAAAACAGCAAAATTAGCCATATTTGCAAAATCTGCACCTCAGAAATCAGTTAAAGACATTACTCTAAAGCAAGTTAGAATTCCAGGCTCTGCCCTGAGAGCCAGACCATCATCTGGTTCAAATCTGCGGCGCTTCCCTGTGCGCCGTGGAACTGCACCAGCTCCCAACAGCTCAAATATCTGGAACTTGGGCTAGGGCTTTCAATTCATTCATTTTTTTTATTTCATTGGACACTTCTTTTAGCTTGTCATACTCAAAGGATACTCAGCTGTAGCTTTGCATAAACTCTATGTGTATACATATATATGTGTGTGTTGGTATCTATGTGTCTGTATACATATATATACACACACATATATATACACACACATATATACACACACACATATATATATATACATTGTTCATAAGAGCATTTCTAAGCCCACAACAGCCCCACGTGTGCTCACCCCCTTGCAGCAAAACAACTCTGCCTTTTGGGTTAAATCATCTGCCTCAAAAGCACCACAGTCACCACCATCCCATTTGGAAGCTCTAGTGAAACCCAATCCTAAAGATCAATAAATGCAAATATTCTCTCCTTCAGCAGCCAGAAGTGAGGAACCCAGGTTTGGATGCCAATATTTTTGCTCAGCTTTTGATTTCTTTGGGAATAGAGGGAATACAGGAATCTCAGGTGCTACCATCACTTAAAAGTTCATTTCAACAATAGACATCAGGCAGACAAAAAGGCATATCCAGGATGCATTAACAGTTGCAAAAGTCCTCCCTTAAAACTACCCAGGAACACACTTTTCCCATTAGATCTAAATTAATAGATAGAAACAGTTGCAGTCTAGTGGGAAAATATTCATCAAAATGCACATCATCTGCACATCATCTGCAATCTGCATTATCTACCCAATAAGCAGCGAGGACTCTCCCCGAATCCCTGCAGTCTGTCAAGTAAACAGTTAAGGCTCTTTGTTTTCAAAAGAGAGATTGATTCATCAGATCAAATTTATTACCTAGAATTCTCGTCCAAAAGTACAGTAAATTAAATCGCTATTTCTCCCCGTTCCCTCCCTGCACCTCAGTAAAATTCATTGGAAAATGCCAGAAAAAACTCTAATACACATTTCAGATAAAAAGCACTACTTCATCCCAAAATAAGAATTTTCATATTAAAACCACTGCAAAACCACAAAGTTCCGACTTTTTCTTGTGCTGTTGTAAATTAAAATCAAATGTATTTAAAAGAATTGGCATAAATAAATCATTCCCAGGCTTGTGAGTTTGTATCACAAGTTTTAGGTCTGAGGGAATCTTTAGAGACAGATTGTGAATAGGGTTGGATAAAGTCATTTGGATCCAACAACAGCTCCTTGAACCGATGCCTAAAACTTCAACTGAACCTTCAGGGAAGTTCAAGAAGTTTGGATAGATGGCCTGAAAAATATTTTGCATCACTGAGCACTTCTAAACTCCTTTTTCTGGCTGGAGGAGAGTAGGAAATACCATTGTTAATCTATTTCTGGCCAATATGAAAACAGGAAGTAACAGAAATCTTGTGAGGGAGCCGGATCCCATGGGACATGGGGACATTTTTGAGACCCAAGAGGTTGGATGGGCACCAGAGCTCCTGGGTGCCCATATGAACAGGTCTTTTGAGGTCCAGCTACACTTCCCGCAAGACACATCCTATTTTTAACAGCATTTTTCATTCCTGTGTACCAGGAGTTGTCATCCCAAGAGGAGTATGGAAACCACACACTTAC